TCTTTTTAATTTGGAGCCAAAATTTCAACAAGGAGGTAAAATCAAAATTCACATTCAACATTCCAAAGTTTGTGAATCAACACTTACAAATGTCTATAAATATGGATGATTTAGTTAAACCTCATATCATAAATATTTCCAATGGCTTCAAACATTCCGATCGATTTGAACAAACCTCCTTACGACGTAGAAGATGCAGTCCCGAGTTCTTCACAGAACATTATAATTCACCTAAATGTCGATGATAGCCTGGAAATTGGATACCCTGTTATCGAGCTTAACTTAAATCAATTTTTTGAAGATGATGACGAAGCTATGTCCGATTCATCTCTGGAAGAAGATATTGGCTAACAAGCTAATGGTGGAGAAGGAAATAGAGACATAGAAGGGGTACTTCAAGGGCAAGTAATATCGAGTGGACAAGAGATTTTCAGTGAGCTCGACGAAGTCAATGGTGAAGCAGTGGAAACAAGACAAGGTGAGTTATTTTACAAAAAAATAAAATCTTAAGAAAATATTCTTTCATACATAGCTATATGTGTTGCATATATGTTTAGAGAGAAAAATGTTCTTTTGTTTTTATTTTAATTTATCTTGAGATAAATTTTTTATTAATGTTTTTTTTTTTATTTTGTTCAGTAGTTGTTGATGTGATGAATCTTTTTATGATGATATTATGTATTCATACATGTTGCCCTGTTTTATCTTAATATGTACATTTGCAATAATTTGATTTACATCAAATGACTTGCCTTCCACTTGGCAGAAGCAAAGTAGAACTATACAATGAGTATAACTTAAAAAGAAGCTAGCTAGGAATAACATTTTTTTTTTTTTTTGTTAATTAAGAAAATAAAATTTGTGGTTGAAGTTGCAGATGTAGAGATGTTTGGAGAATTGTTTTGTTGAGTGCAAAGGCTTCCAAATGCTTTTAGTATTCGCCTAGTCGAAAGCAACGTAATGAGAATAACATGCAATATATGCAAAATATTTAGCTTACTTGAAAAAAGTGGAAGATCTCATGAATTGCAGAGCTATCTTTTTAGTAAAATATTTAGCTTACTTTATATTTTCTATAAAATGTTGTGCTGCTTTTTGCTCAATGCGTTAGATAGTTTAGTTGGTCATTTTTTATGTTGTGTTATGTAGTTTCTTGTGATATTTGTGTGCTATGTGTTTTCTGTTGTTCATTATTGATTAATTCTATGATCTTTTAATTTCTCTTGACAATATAATTCTTAATAAATTTGTAGACATATATAGTGAATTTCCCACTGAAGTGTTTTGTTCTGTATTTTATTTTTTTAAATTGTTTGGTACTTTATGTTAAATTTGGTTACCACTATTTGATAGGCAATGTTCAAGGGAGAAAGAAAAGAGCCCTAACTAACGCTGAACGGTGGGCAGTTTACCATGCTTTGTTGGAAAAAAGTGTAAATGGTAAATTGAAAAAGAATACAACAAGAGAAGTGAAAGATATGTTCAATATTGGGGATGTGCGAACAGTTCAAAGAATATGGCAAATTCACAAGAGAACTCCACCAGGCTCAGATGTGGATGTGTCATCGTGAAAGGCACGAAACTGTGGTCGTAAACGAATTGAGGTGGATTTAAATAGAATTCAACAGATAGAGTGGCATCAACGAACAACGCTTACATCTCTTTCTAATGCTTTAGGAGTTAGTTGTTCCAAATTGTACAGCCTTTTTAAGCGAGGCGTTCTACGTCGTCATTCAAGTGCCATCAAACCACATTTGAAAGACAAAAACAAAACATCACGACTAGAGTTCTGCTTATCGATGCTTGATGAAAGCACAACGTCGAACGAGCCAAAGTTTAAAGGAATGTATAACTATGTGCACATTGACGAGAAATGGTTTTACATGACAAAGAAGGAGCAAACGTATTACATGCTCAATAATGAAGAAGATCCTCACCGTACATGCCAAAGTAAAAATAACATTGCAAAAGTCATGTTTCTAGCAGCAACGACTCGTCCTAGATTTGATAGTGAAGGAAGGGTGGTATTTTCGGGCAAAGTTGGATGTTGGGCATTTGTGACAGAGCAACCAGCCCAAAGAAATAGCAGGAACAGGCAAGCTGGCACGATGGAGATGAAGGCGATCACATCTGTTAAAAGAGAGAATGTGAAAGCGTTTTTGATTGAAAAGGTTATCCCAACTATTATTGAGAAATGGCCTAACTCGGGAGAAACTATTTATGTCCAACAAGACAATGCTAGGACACACGTCCCTCCTAATGACCCTGATTTTGTAGCAGCTGCTTCACAAAATGGCTTTGACATTCGATTAATTTGCCAACCCCCTAATTCTCCAGATTTGAATATACTCGACCTTGGGTATTTTAGGGCTATACAGTCGCTGCAACAAAAAATGTGCACAAGGAATATCCATGAGCTTGTAAGTGCGGTAGATAATGCATTCTGACTATTCACCCAACTAGAGAATTGTTGGCAGCACGACAAGGTAAATCAATGTTAACATTTGCTTCTCGTCTTCATATATTCAATATTATTCATAATATTCTTATTTTCTTGTAGAGAACGGTTCAATTGGAGGTGGATTGGAAGAGCTTTAGTTGAAATTGGTGATGCATGTTGTTATTGTCAGCATTTGTTTATGTAGATTGTTCTGTTTTGTGAAATCTGCTTCAAAGACTCTTCTTGTCTTACTTCTGTTTTATGTCAAAATGTGTGTTCTCTGTAGACTTTGTTCTTTTTTGTTTTTTTTTTTTTCTTT